GGGGGGGATATCCGCTGGCAGGGCCGTCCCCGCAGCGGGTCAGGTCCCGGTGTCGCTGAGGGTGGGAAGGTCTCGGGGCAACGGGGCCGCCCGGCGGGTGGGGTGTCCCCGCCGCCCCCTCCTGTGACACCTGAGCAGGCACCTAATCCTGCGCTTTACCCTCTCTAGATGAAGATGGGGACCTGATCGCTTTTTCCACCGATGAGGAGCTGGAGATGGCGATGCCTTATGTGCAGGACGGCGTCTTTCGTGTTTACATCAAAGGTAACCCCCGTGCAGCTCCTAGGGGCAGTAGCAGGCCCCCAAAAGCAGGAGAAGCAGGCCCCGGCCCCTTCCCCTTGTCCTCGGGGGGTTGGTGGAACCTGTGGCCTTTAGCAGGGAGCTGAAATAAAGGGCAGAGTGATATAGCAGAATATCCTCCTCCCTGCTGAGGTGGGGTAAACAGATCACAAGTTTCCTCCAAGCCCTGTCATCTCAGCTGGCCCAACGCGAGCTGCTGTCGTCATGCTGGCTCCCTGGAAACACTTGGCTAGCACCGGAATCGTTAATATTCACAACAATGTGTTAAGAAGCCTTAATTCTGGCTTATTCCTCAGTGTGTAGTTGCTCCCTAGTTCCCTCTGTTAGCATAGATACCTACAAAGCTTTATCGGCAGTCCATCGAGTGAGTCACAGGAGCCAGCGATGTTGTCCCTGCTCTCATCTGTTGTGCCTCCTGGCATTTCCTCCTAACTCCCTCTCCAAAAACATTCTGTTCTTGCAGTTCTTCGGAAGGTAGGACGAGAAGCCAAATGGGGTAGCGCAGCACTAATCTAAAATAAACATGCCGAGAGAGCGTTAAGGATAAGGCATGCTCAGTTTGAGGAGCAGGTATCTTTGCAAAACCCCTTCGCGCTTGGTTTAAGTTCTCTTACGTGCCCCTGGCTTGCGTTTGGCAGCCAGCGTAAAAATAAACTGACCTAGTAAGTCAATACTGCTCTGACAAGGGCTGTTTGTGCTTCCTTCTCCTCTGCCCAATTTCCAGCCTTTAAATAGTAACCTCGTTTTGACGCAAAGTTTCCTTTCCTTAATAGAGAAAAAGGAGTGCAGGCGGGAACACCGCTCACAGTGCAGCCAGGAGCCTCCTCGCGACATGGTGCACCCCAACGTCATCTGTGATGGCTGTGAAGGACCGGTGGTGGGTGCCAGGTTCAAGTGCACTGTCTGTCCAGACTACGACCTGTGCAGCACCTGTGAGGGTAAAGGCATCCACAAGGAGCACAACATGGTGATGTTTCAAAGTCCACTACTAAATCCATTTGAGGTGAGCAAAATCTATGGAGGGGAACTCATGAATGGGATATTCCTCAAAGTCATAAGTTCCAGTTACTCAGAACATGGCTGTATGAAGAGTCACATGAACATTACCCTTTACAGTGGCTTCCCCGAGGACGCTGGCTCCGTAAAATGCGGCACGGTGTTCCACCCTTCCCATGGATGCACTGCTGGGGATATCCTGGCCCTGCAGCTCCGTGCCAAAATGCCGAACAAGCCCAAGCCAGTGCTGCAGCCTCCAGTCCACCCACTGCAGAAGGTAAGAGGAGATGCTCTGGTAAACAAGGTGGTGGTTGAGCCAGAGTAGCTGAGGTTCTGCAGCACAGGGTGGAATCTGGGTGGAAAAATAGATACAGGACCTACTCTAATTTGCTTGAAGAAATTGTCACCTTTCAGCAGAGTGGGATTGTTTTAAGGCATGCTTGGGCCCGTGCAGTAGATGAGGATGCAGAGAGAGTATCTGGAATCAAACAAAGCTGAGCTGTTAGGTCAAGCATGTCACTACTCCAGACCTGCCTTTCAGCATGGCTAATGAGCCTTAACAATGCTAATGCCACTGGTTTTCAGTTCCAGAGGTAGCTCAGGGTTAGTTTTTTGTCTCTATACTGCCTTTGTTGTGCAGTGTGTGTGAGTGACAGGAAACGAGCACCAAGACCTCATGGGGATACGCTCTATAGGTGCTTTTTCCCGCTGAGCTCCTATGTGTGCTAACAGAAATTGTTTTTCTAGAAGCTTCTACTAACAGCCAGCCTCAGGACCCCAACGTCACCTTCTTAAAGAATGTTGGGGAGAGTGTTGCAGCTTTTCTGAGCCCCCTGGGTAAGTGACTTACAGTTTGTTACCCCAATTCCCAAGACTGGCTTAAAGGTCCTTTTGACAGGAGCAGCAGTCAGTTGTTGTGACCGATACTGGAACCACGTCATGCTACTAAGCCTCGATTTACTCCTGGTACTAACAACGCCTAGGCTTACAACAGCTACGCGGTACCTTCTCAGAGCCCTCCTTTAGGAGGAAAGATTTCATTAACATGTCACCACTGTAATACTAATCTTAAGTCAGTGGTGACTCAGGATTTTACCGGGCTTATGTGGGCATTGATAACTTCTGCCCTGACTCTCTAAATGTATGCCTTGTCTATCTAGAGGAAGATGACTATTTGGTGCTTAACTATTTGTTGTTTAAAGAGTGCTTTGCATCTTAATTCTTACATGTTGTATGGCAAACTACAAGGATTACAGAAACCTTATGGCATTTAGACTAGGACTCTTTTAGGATGGTGCTTTGGAAAAACCTCTGTAAGACTTTTTCCATCTCAAATGCGTTTCTAGGTATTGAAGTTGATATCGATGTGGAACATGGAGGACAGAGAAGCAAAGTGACTCCTGCTCCTCCCAATCAAGAGCAGAACAGTGCCGAGTCGAGCAGCAGTACTCTTAACCAGAATGTTCAGACCAAACCAGACTGGAATAACACAGATTCTGCTACAGAAGTAAATGCTGTTGCAGAGCAGATACAAGACATGGTGATAGATCCTGTGCCCACACAAATGGAAGATGGCAGTCTCCAGTCGCAGGTACAAGAACTATGACACTAATTGAGTAATGCTTGCTGAGGCTTTACTAGAAAGGAAGATAACCACTTAGCATGCATTGTGGGATTGAATATTAAGGTGTCAGCAGATGAAGTGATACGCAGCACCTCTGCTTTATAGCAAAGGTGGTGGGACTTCTTGTGGATGTAACTCTTCATATGAAAGGCAGATCGCAGGAGGATGCATCCTACCTGGAAAGCACTGCAGCACCTGGAGCTTTTTTCTTTCCATTTCAGGAACACAGCGAGTCCAGCAGTTCGTCAGGGGGTGATGAGGACTGGACCCACTTATCTTCCAAAGAAGTGGATCCTTCCACAGGTGAACTGCAGTCTCTGCAAATGCCAGAGACAGAGGGTCCCAGCTCCCTAGATGTCTCTCAGGATCCTCCCCAAGCAGGACCTACAGGACTGCGAGAAGCTGCACTCTACCCACATCTCCCACCAGGTATGAGAATGAATGCAGGTTTCGTAATAGAGTAACTTTCACTGGGGAATTACCAACTTGATTGACATAAGCAGACCTGCTTTTAGAGATGGTAGAAATCAAGGTCACCTAAGTTACAGCTGAACTTACCCATAACTTTGTTAGCAGGTACGGCAGCTCTTGCACCCTGTTAGACACAGTCAGGTGGTTCTCCTCTTGAATGTGGGCAGCTAAGTCTTAACAAGACTTCTGACCTTAGACTAATGCCATTCAAGCAATATGAAACAAGGTGGTATCCTAAATCGTGTCCCTGCTGTGTACCCTTCAAGAGAGCCCTTTAATGCAGGATGCAGACTAGTACATCCTGCGACTTTAAGACAGCATTTTTCTGGTGGGAGCCAGTAACCGTATGCCAGGCCACTTCACTGAGATCAACAGCACAGTGCCCTACAGCAAGGCCAGCTGAGTCTGACTCAGCAGTTTTCTGAGCTGGTTATGTATCTTCTGTCTCAAACATCTGCCCTCCTGGGAGACAAAGGAGAGCATGTCTTCTAGCATTTAACCAGCTATGCTAGATTTACTAGTATTAGTGCCAACCCACCTACTCTGTGGTATTAAAGCTTGGCTGGTTTGTCAATTACATGAAATATTTCAACTTCAAACTGTTCTTCTCTTAACAGAAGCAGACCCTCGCCTCATTGAATCACTGTCCCAGATGCTCTCTATGGGCTTTTCTGATGAGGGTGGGTGGCTCACTCGACTCCTGCAGACAAAGAACTGCGACATCGGGGCAGCGCTAGATGCCATCCAGTATTCCAAGCAGCCACCTCACTTGTAATCTCCGTAACAGAAAGCACTTTCCTTCTAACTGAAAGCAAACAATGCAGTACAACTTACTCAGCGGTTCATCTTTCTTCCTGCTAAGGGTTTCTGTCTCATGTTCCAAAGTGCTTGTAGAATGGAGGAAAAATAAATACTACTACCTGTGATGAGTCTGTGTGAGCGTTTTAAGTATCACAGCTGTGTTACTCAGCATAGTCCCTCTACTCTTTTAACTATGAGCATGTGATTTCATCAAGCAGCAACCTGTGCAAGGGAGGCAGCCTAGGACTGTAGGCCTGCCTTTTTGCACATACCTTGGTGTACCCCCTTAGGGCTGCACTTCTCAAGAGAAATTAAATGCTTTGCTGGCGCTGGAGCCTGCTCTGCAGCTCTGGAAGAAAGGGTTGCTATGGGAGATCTAAACAAAGAGGTAGCACAGGGGAAAAGAGCTGTTCTTTGTAATGCAGAGTTAATCACAGAATTTAATTGTACTGACCAGAAATCCTTGGAGCTTTCTTCCCCCCAAGCTGACCTATTTCTAGCTGATGAGCTTTCTAGATAACACTGTGTAACCCTGGTTACAGTGCTCTCTTCCACCCTCATACCCTTTCCCTGAACACAGCCATAGAGCAAGTAAACAACTTTAATAGTGCAGTTCTGTAATGCCATCTTCAGGCCAAAATCTTGTCTCAGTACTCAACATACCAAAAACATTCTAGAGACAAACAAGAAAGCAATGCCAAAGATGCCTGAACATCTCAGAGATCATCATCAAACTCCTCACCTGTGCAGAAGAGGTGCTCACAAGAAATGCTGCTAGGCTTTGGCCTGGGGTTACAGTTAATAAGAGCGTTTGCCTTCGTGCTATCCAAACAGCACCTTCCTGCAGTTGTCTCTAAGACACCAGATCCTGCCCTTATCAATTGGCTTTGTGGTTCTTTGAACAGCACATCCTCCTCAACTGAGTATCTGGTGCTGGGCACCATGGTGCCGGGCAGTTTTGAGGCAAGCTGCTCAGTGCTAGCAGCACACTTTTTAAATTCAAAACCTGTACCTGGAGGTAGAGTTCTTCCAGCCTGTTCAGAGCGTCTACTGGCAATACCAGAATCTGCTGCAGTGGTGCTGTGTAGTCCCAACCTTCCGCTGCCCCCCTGTGGCGACAAGGTGACCCTGGCAGCATTTTTGCTATAGCTGTCAGAACACGAGAGAAATTTTTCCCACTTCGAGGGTTTGGTACAAGCACTTGCAGTTTGTGTACTCTCCTCAGGCGTTACAGACTCACAGACAGCAGGAACCACACTGCCTCCGGAAACAGCATCTCCGTCATCTTGATCAGCCACTGCTACTGCACATTTCTTGTGCTGTAACAAGGAAGAGAGCTTGGTTATAAATCCAGCACACACAGCCAAGCTGCACAGAAGCAGGCAAAGAAAGAGCACTTGGGATCCTTCAAAAGCACCCAAATTCTCACTGGCCCCCTGAAGCAGAGCTCAGGCTGAGTGGGCCTATGAACTCTGGGCTGTGAAGACTCAGGCCAACTTCACTGGCACTGCAGGTAATCACAGTAGCCTTAAAAACTGCACACAACACAGGTGCCACTGCTCAGTAAGGCAAAGCAGCATAGTTCGCAACTGTGCTGACAGAGGAATCCGGCTCAACCACTCAGCTTACACAAGTTGGCATTGTTTTTGCCTGACTAAAACCTGGCAGAGAGAACCTCCTGACACAATTTTCTTCTCCTCCCGACTCATTCAAACAGAAGAACAGAGGAAGGCTCGTAAAACTTCAAAATTATGATGACACAAAAGAGGTCAGGAGAACACTGTTTTGTTTTACTGGTAGGAAGAACCTTCTAACTAAATTCTAAAATACCTCAGAGGTTTTAGCCTTTTTGGCCTGGTAGGCAAGCTGGAAAACTCCATTTTCCTCTGCGTGCTCCTGAACATCACTGGACAGAAAGCTCTTGTGCTGTTTCCTGGTAAAGAAAACCATTCACAAAGAGGACAGATTAGCTCCACTGTGAGGTTTTTCCACAAATCATCAGAAATGTTCATAAAATGCATGGCTCTAGCAACAAAAGAAGTTTTACCCTAAATACCAAATCCCTGCTTAGGTCAGGTCACACATTGCAACATGTACTTTGTTCAGCCATCAGAGATGAGCGACCTCCCACACCTCCAAACCAAATGTCACCACTTGGGGGCAGGAATTAAAAAAAAAAAAAAAAAAAAAAATTCTTTCTGTACCTTTGTTCTTCCACACTGTTCTTCCTCTGGGAACAGAACTGTTGCCTTTCTCTTCCTGCCTCCTCCTCCCCATCTTCCTGATCTTCACTGTCCTTGTCCAGATATTTACTCCAGCGACTGACTTCTGCCCTTCCGTCCTACAACATCAAAGAATTACTGAAAACAGCAAAATACAGGGTTCTCATTTTTGGCACTGTTACGTTTGTGCTGAATGCCTCAAATCACAAGTCAGTTTAGGACATTTTCCTGTATCGTGTTCCCAGGTTCAGTATCCTGGTGGAGCAGAGTTTATGTATATATGTCATTCTCTTCGCTGGAGCCTCTCTGATGATGCACTATTTCAGCTGTCTGAACCCATATAAAGGGATCAAAGATTTCACTTTGATTCACCTAGGTCAGTATGGGTTGGTATTTACCTAAGCTTTGTAGGTATTTTACCTGCTGTACTGAACCATCTTCACGTTGGGCTGCTGTATTTTTGTTGTCATTTACAGATTCTTCTACATACCTAAAATAGATGTTTAAGTTAGAGTTTCCAGAATACATTTCTGCCTGTTGATTTATAATTTTCAAATCACCTAGTCAAAGCATGAGGGATCGGATAGAAAGCATGGATAGGAACACAGGACAGGTGGCATGCTAGAAAAAAAAAATGGATCTATAGAAAAGCAGATGTCAAATGAAGGATTTGCAACATATATTGCCCAAAAACTTAAAATAAAATAGTTAGAGGGTAGCCTCCTTCTTTCTATACAAATAGAGTAGCAAATCTGATCTAAAGTCGCTAATCATTTAATGATAAATTCTAATGGATCATAAATAGGGATATAACAGCATGTCTGTTGGGACAACAGCTTAAACCCACTAATTATATCCCAAGCAACCAGAGAAAAAGGGAAGTTATTTCACAATGTTTTGAATTTCAAAATGTTTTGAGGATAGAAATAGCAACCCTTTTTGATAAAGTGAACAAACAATGAGTCTTCTTCCCAAAGCTTAACCCTGAAGCACTGCATATACACAGCTAAGTTATCTAACTAGCTTTGACTGATTTCTGAAAATAACCTTGAGTAAAAAGGAAGCTGTACCAGTTCAAGACCAGTTCATGATTAGGCAATTTGCAACAGATTCAGGAATGAAATAAACAGGAAAGTGCTGTTCAGATTTTTCCAGCCCAGCAGGTATTATACCCAAATGTTTGCACTAAACAAGTCTTTTTATCAATAGTAGCAGCGACTACCCAACAGATTCACAGTGTGAACCCCCTTGAATGCCAAAGTTAGGTAGCAACAGCTTAGAGTGGAGGATGTTTTCCCTCTGAGGATGCACCTCTGCACTGCAAGATGGACACCTCCACAGTCAGCTCATCAGATAAGTGAATAAAACAGAGCAATTAAAAAGCAGCCAAACCAACCCCTACTGCATATATTTTAATGGCTAAAGGCCTGACCAACACACACTGTTGATCAGCTAAACTTATCTGAAAAAATTCCTTGTCAAAAGAAACACGCCAGGACACTAAAACCAACAAACAGCATGTTCCTATGAGGTGACGACAAAAGTGGCACCTCATGGCTTTATGACAGGGCAGAAACCTTCCTGTGAGCTCAAATTAGGCAACGGGCACTGAATGTGTGAAGGCGTGCATCAACTGTAGCACATCAAAAGAAACAAGCAAAGATTAAACACTCTACCGAGATGTCCAACCAATTGCTTCCTCCGCCTCACCCTGCAGCAAGTTTAATTTCTGGACATGGCGCCTACAGTCTAGGCCAGAACCTTGCCCATAGATCTGCAAATTAAAAAAAAAAAAAAAAAGAAAAAAGAAAAACAAGGTGTAGGGAGCAGAAGGAAACAGCACAAAGTGAGGCTCTACCTCGGGTAATACTGAGGTGCTCACTAATGTTAGCACACACGGCTGAGCGAGTGATGTCCTGTGTAGGGTCTAACTGCCACACGGGGCTCCCCACCACCGCACAGGCCTCCCCCCGGCCCGGCCCGGCCCCTCACCTTCTGCACCTCACCTTCTGCCCCGCCTGCCGCTGGCCGCACACGCTGCAGCTCCACTTCCCGCTCCGCTTGGCCTAGGAGGGCGCAGAGGGGGGTCAGTGCCGGCCCGCAGCCCGCAGCCCGCTCCCCGGCCCGGCCCGCACCGGAAGGGGAAAGGAAGGAAGGAAGGAAGGGGAAAGGAAGGAAGGAAGGAAGGGGAAAGGAAGGAAGGAAGGAAGGGGAAAGGAAGGAAGGAAGGAAGGGGAAAGGAAGGAAGGAAGGAAGGGGAAAGGAAGGAAGGAAGGAAGGGGAAAGGAAGGAAGGAAGGAAGGGGAAAGGAAGGAAGGAAGGAAGGGGAAAGGAAGGAAGGAAGGAAGGGGAAAGGAAGGAAGGAAGGAAGGGGAAAGGAAGGAAGGAAGGAAGGGGAAAGGAAGGAAGGAAGGAAGGGGAAAGGAAGGAAGGAAGGAAGGGGAAAGGAAGGAAGGAAGGAAGGGGAAAGGAAGGAAGGAAGGAAGGGGAAAGGAAGGAAGGAAGGAAGGGGAAAGGAAGGAAGGAAGGAAGGGGAAAGGAAGGAAGGAAGGAAGGGGAAAGGAAGGAAGGAAGGAAGGGGAAAGGAAGGAAGGAAGGAAGGGGAAAGGAAGGAAGGAAGGAAGGGGAAAGGAAGGAAGGAAGGAAGGGGAAAGGAAGGAAGGAAGGAAGGGGAAAGGAAGGAAGGAAGGAAGGGGAAAGGAAGGAAGGAAGGAAGGGGAAAGGAAGGAAGGAAGGAAGGGGAAAGGAAGGAAGGAAGGAAGGGGAAAGGAAGGAAGGAAGGAAGGGGAAAGGAAGGAAGGAAGGAAGGGGAAAGGAAGGAAGGAAGGAAGGGGAAAGGAAGGAAGGAAGGAAGGGGAAAGGAAGGAAGGAAGGAAGGGGAAAGGAAGGAAGGAAGGAAGGGGAAAGGAAGGAAGGAAGGAAGGGGAAAGGAAGGAAGGAAGGAAGGGGAAAGGAAGGAAGGAAGGAAGGGGAAAGGAAGGAAGGAAGGAAGGGGAAAGGAAGGAAGGAAGGAAGGGGAAAGGAAGGAAGGAAGGAAGGGGAAAGGAAGGAAGGAAGGAAGGGGAAAGGAAGGAAGGAAGGAAGGGGAAAGGAAGGAAGGAAGGAAGGGGAAAGGAAGGAAGGAAGGAAGGGGAAAGGAAGGAAGGAAGGAAGGGGAAAGGAAGGAAGGAAGGAAGGGGAAAGGAAGGAAGGAAGGAAGGGGAAAGGAAGGAAGGAAGGAAGGGGAAAGGAAGGAAGGAAGGAAGGGGAAAGGAAGGAAGGAAGGAAGGGGAAAGGAAGGAAGGAAGGAAGGGGAAAGGAAGGAAGGAAGGAAGGGGAAAGGAAGGAAGGAAGGAAGGGGAAAGGAAGGAAGGAAGGAAGGGGAAAGGAAGGAAGGAAGGAAGGGGAAAGGAAGGAAGGAAGGAAGGGGAAAGGAAGGAAGGAAGGAAGGGGAAAGGAAGGAAGGAAGGAAGGGGAAAGGAAGGAAGGAAGGAAGGGGAAAGGAAGGAAGGAAGGAAGGAAGGGGAAAGGAAGGAAGGAAGGAAGGAAGGGGAAAGGAAGGAAGGAAGGAAGGAAGGGGAAAGGAAGGAAGGAAGGAAGGAAGGGGAAAGGAAGGAAGGAAGGAAGGAAGGGGAAAGGAAGGAAGGAAGGAAGGAAGGGGAAAGGAAGGAAGGAAGGAAGGAAGGGGAAAGGAAGGAAGGAAGGAAGGAAGGGGAAAGGAAGGAAGGAAGGAAGGAAGGGGAAAGGAAGGAAGGAAGGAAGGAAGGGGAAAGGAAGGAAGGAAGGAAGGAAGGGGAAAGGAAGGAAGGAAGGAAGGAAGGGGAAAGGAAGGAAGGAAGGAAGGAAGGGGAAAGGAAGGAAGGAAGGAAGGAAGGGGAAAGGAAGGAAGGAAGGAAGGAAGGGGAAAGGAAGGAAGGAAGGAAGGAAGGGGAAAGGAAGGAAGGAAGGAAGGAAGGGGAAAGGAAGGAAGGAAGGAAGGAAGGGGAAAGGAAGGAAGGAAGGAAGGAAGGGGAAAGGAAGGAAGGAAGGAAGGGGAAAGGTAAAAAGAAAAAAAAAAGGAAAAAAAGTCTGACTGCAGTCACACCAAGTCTGCTCTTTTAGGTAACTGCCACGGACAAAGAACAATCACTGCTCCGTGAGCTCAGAGAAATAAAGGGCAGTCAAGGTAGCCTATAGGATTCTGGTTCATTTATTGAGTACATGACAGATAAGACAGACAGTGTAAAATCACATGTATTATTTGTACTTTTAAAAAAATTACAATAAATTACTGAATAATTAGTAAAAGCAGTTTTACTAATGGCTGCTCTCCAGTGACACAGGACAGAGGAGGCAGAGAAATAAGGAATATGTACCAGCTGTGAATACATACAGAGAATGTCACAAGGGGGAATTAACACTGAGTAGCACACCAAGTAGTGTTAAATGGGAACATCCAACCGAACGTATCCTTCCCACCCTTTACACTCCAAATCCCAGCCAAAAGCTGTAGCAAACCTTTGCCTTCAGTGCAGGGTCTGCTCTTGCCGAGCAGCGGCAGCATATCCCTCTCTGGCCCTGCAAGGCAGATGCCTGCGTACTGAGATGAATTTATCTGTAGGAACAGCATTAATTCTCCTTCCTCGGAGCGCACGCCCTACTACCAGAAGGGTAACTCTTAGTTTCTTCTGGTCTTAATTGATTTAAAAGAGCAGTCACTCCGTCTCCCAGTTATTTCGTCTCTAACTGGAAAGAGATCTAGTCTGTTGAGGTTTCCCGTAATGGGCTGATGGCAGAGGGCCACACTGCTTTGAGTTCTTCCTCTTTAGGTGTAAATGCCCATCGATGTGTAGTAGTTTCTAAAAGCACGTACATCGCTAGACTCTTAGTACAAGAGAGGTTCAGAAAGGACACCGGGCAGCTGCAGGTGGCACAGCACTCTTGCACACCTTCCTGCCCCAAGCGTCTGCGAGGGCTGACTGATCGAGTGATCTTAGGGGGGCTCCTAAAAATTGGACCCATGACTAGCTAGTAAAAACAGAGAATCAGCAAGAAACAACGAACGTTTTCTGTACCAACAGGGAGAGTCCAGCAGACCAGTGTGCCACTGTCCTGTAACAGAGGCTGATTCACCGACTTCTAATTTAGGAACATATTCCCTCATTACAACCATTGTGAGCCCGCTGATTGACTTAATATTACTTCTGCACTGAAGTCAAAGAGCTTGTGGCTTCCCAGACCAAATAAAAACAATGGCTTTCAAAGAACTAGAAAAGCAAATGCTAGAAAACCAGGTTTGAGTGCTGAAGGAGAAAAAAAAAAAAAAAAAAGGTGGTCATACACTACGAAAATGCCAAATCACATCTGAAAAAAACCTGCAGATCTGAGAAATGTCTGTGTTTAGACCTCAGGGTGCTGGGAGCAGTGGGGCACATTTGCATTATAGCTGCTGAGTCACAGAAGAGCATTGAAGAACTTACAAGACTATTTATAGGTCAGGGTCCTACAGCACTTGACTACACTGCATTAGCTCTCAGACTGCAGCCAGAGGCGAACGTGGTTTCAAGCCAGGCTGCATCTGCTGTGCAAGTTACCTGGGAACCTACAGCAAACAAGGGCAGGCAAGGAGCAGTTACTGTCTGAAATAAAACTTCATTAAAATAAAAGATAGCAAAAGGCAGACATGCATAATTTATGGTGGTAATTCTATATGTCAGGGGCTATTAGGTTCTAATGGCTCGAGAATGTAAATCTAATTCTGTCAGCCAGAGTAGCCAAAGAAGCACCTACACAAAACAGTCACTGTCAGAAGCCCCTTATTGATTGGAATCTATTGTAAATGGTGTAGTTACTGGTCTCTGATTAAACAAAAAAATACCCCAAATACAAAATACCAAACCATCCTGCCATCTGCCACTCTATCTCCCTGTTTTATCTCCCGAAGACAATTCCTGCTTTCTTGAGTTCACCCTGACACGGAGGAAAGTTCATAGTCACTGGATGAACTGAACTGCCTCTCGACCTTCTTCTGATCTTTGATCTTTTGCAGAATGTTGACTTTTTTCTCAAAGTAGTTTACAAGGGCTGTTTCCGTCAGCATAGAAGCTAAGATCTGCTCAAAGGAGATAGACCAGTCTGTATCAATAGTACTACCGTACCTGGCAGCTGAACTACTGACTTCGCAACCGACCAGGACCGTGTCATCTGCAATGTCTTCACACTGCAGGGAGCCTGTGCTGACCATGGAGTAGGAAGACATGGACATATCATCTTTGGTTTCATCATCTGATAGCAGCTGTAAAGGAGAGCCTTGTCCTTCCCCTGACCCATCTCCTAGAGTTTGGTTCTCCTGCTGTGTTTTTTCAGCCTGAGCATCTCCACAGGTTTTGTCTTCGTGGTCAGTTTGTGGTTGCTGCTCCACTGCTGAATTTTGACTCTGTTCAGATGTTGGTGACTCCTCTTCACTCACAGGATCTTGGCTATTGTTTGCTTTGCAGTCCTCAGACTTCCTCACGGGCCTGTTGGAAAATTTTTTCCCAACCTCCCCAATTCGCAGGAGGAGACTGGCTACAGTGGCAATTGCATGGTACAGCTCTTGCTCCACCGGGTCCTCACTGAACATGTTGTAAAGGGTCTTGCATAACTCTATGAATTGTTCCTTTAAAAGACAAAGACCAAAAAAAAAAATCATACTTCAGGCTGAAAAAAGTCGACAGTGGCAGATCACAGAATATCTCAAGTTGGAAGCGACCCATAAGGATCACCGAGTCCAACTCCCTGCTCCTCACAGCGTCATCCAGATACTCTGTGAGATGAAGCAACAGGCACCATCTTGACCGACTCCTTGTTTATCTGCCTCTCCACCATGGAAGTGGCAACTTACTGTACTGATTCAGAACAGTCCAACTGCAAACTCTGCTGTAGGGGCTACATTCAGACACAGCTAGCAATTTAATAGTGGTGGGTTTTTTTCCTGACAGATGAACAGAGTACTCACATATTCACAGCTGAGAAAACCTAAAGTTTTACTTTTGCTCTGCTACTCTCTTGCAGTCAGCTTTTAAGCACTTCCGAACTGGTTTAAGTAGCACCCATCAAGGAAATCAGAGACAGAAAAGATCACACCGGTCATCAGACTCTCTTTCCTGTAACCACATACTTTGCTCTCCACCAAGCAGCTGTATCTCAAGGCAATGCAAAACCAAAAAAGCCAAACAAGTTTATATGACTGATGGCATATCTGAAACACAGATCACAGTTCTTATAGGAAAATTGGTCTGGGAGGCAGAGAGAATAAAATACATTTGATTGGTTGAAACAAAGTAGTTTGTCTATGTCCACTGAGGAATTCAACACAAACGTGTGGAATTAGAGGCTTCTAAACCTCACCAGACCAGAACAGCAGGGCAAGGACTGAGCATGCTGGTGAAATGGCTGCATGTACTGCTGAATTCCCCACTAAGCTGTCAGTCATCTAACTAGAAACGTTCACATTCGTTTCTTACCTGGCTCATTTTGGGGAGATCTTTAATGGTTTCTTTCTTGGACTCTTTTTCCTTGGCCCACATTCTTAGGTAGTATCTATAGTCCTGTGGACTGGTACCTTTCTCCTCTGCAAGGCAAGACCAAGCCACTAGTATCGGGTGGTTAATGGTTTCAGACTTAAAAAGTGAATGCTGTGCCAGCAAAAATTATACTGGAAGCAGGTTTTATTGACACTTCATGAAAGCATCTACCGGGAAGGCTACACTGTTTTCTGCTGGTTTATCTGATCCAGCTCAGTAGAGCAAAAATTTTAACATTGCTGCATCAGCTTGACTTCTCATAAATGAACTCTATGAGTTGACAACTCACCAAACATGACTTACAAAAGTTATGATGTATGCAAAAGAGTCAGAGTAGTAAGGCAGTAAGAGAGATTTATTTCCCAGCTCACATCTCACTTTACCTGTGTCCACAAGGGACACTTTGAAAGGTCTCCTTGATACAGCAAAGGACAATGAACAGTTCATAATATGAGAGAGGCAAGACTAGAATGTGGTCTATATATGACCGAATTACCTTTTTCTGGACCGTTCTCATTTCTCCTTCCTTTATCTTCTTGGGTTTCTAAAAAAATACAGGATTATAAAAGAATGATTAATAGCCGATTTTCAGCAGCACAACCCAGGAAGAACCTAAGACAACTCGTATACAAATTAAAATCATACAAGAATATATTTAATAGAAGTTAGATCTCACACTCCCACATCATGTTTGGAGGAGTGAACAGAACAGGATGGAAGCAAGAGGCTGATGGGATGAACTGGATAGAAAGCCACACTGAAGAAGTGGGTTGAAGAGCTGAAGTAGAGGACAGAACTGTTAAAAGGAAAGGGTGAAACACAGGTACGAAAGACAGCTAAGCAATGGGATGGCTTAAAGGCAAAGAAGTTCAGTTATCCAAAGCAAGATAATGAATGGAAAAAAACCAAACCACCGCTGAGCACATATGTGACTAATATCTACACTCACCATTATTCACTGACTGAACTGACACTTTGGGAGTAATTTGCAGATTAGGTAACTTCATGAACTTCACTTCTGGTTCCCTATACTGTTGCTAGACTTTATACAAAATCTTGGCTCAACTCAGACTGCTACATTAGCCATCTAGCACCAAATAGCACAAATACTTACTCGCATTTTTTTTTTGAGCATTCTATGTTCTGGTAAACATTTAGCACAAATGACATAATTTGACCTCTTATTTGACAATCTCTAAAATTATATTTTAAGAAATACAGTAAATTAGTCTACTAACAGTTTTGCAATTCAATGGCATGCATCCTTATCCCTTTAAATTAGAAGACTGTGAAGGAGGCACAGGTATCATCGACCCAGGCCAGCAAGCCTAGCAGCCCCTCCCCTCTGCTCTAAGCATATTTCTCTCCTGGCAGTTTCTAGGGTGAGATAAACCCTGCTGAAAGAAGCCAGACAAAACCTATTTTGACCAAGGTTGAAACTCAATAGGTAGAATATACTGAAAGATATCTAATTACTTATAGCACTTTATTCATAGTGGGAGAGTCACGAGAGAGGAGCAGCAGCAACAACTTCAGAGTATTTAAAACGGCACATTGGTGCCGACAGATGATATCAGCATTATAGCCACGCTCAATGCATGCACATAATCCATGGACTGACCTTGAGACTCACAGTGCAGGCAGAAATCCAGCTCTGAGACAAAAGGAGATACTTGAGCAGCAGAAAAAGAGGTTGAGGGGACAATATCCCAGATAAAACAGAAGAAAAGGCCAGACATGACAGACACAGAGAAGGAAACAAAAACAAGAAGAGAGACAATGAGACTTGCATGAAAAACCTCAATCATGGTGGGAGACAGGGGCTGGTAAAAGCACACTGCTCTGCCTCAGCAGTCTGTAACTGTGCTTCAGAGGGGTCCTGCATGAAATGGGTGCTGAGCAGTTTAAGCTCCAAACTTCCTTCCCATCATGCAACAAAGACAGCGAACTCAAACACACTGGCCATCTTAACATACTGGCACCACGAGACCATGCCTTGCAAAATATCACTATTCGCAGCACATGGATCTGTGCCGCAACTCCTGCCTACGCTGAGAGGTAAAGGCAGCAGTGTTGGATTACCTTCTGTTGTAACATCCTCTGTGAAATAACTTGTGGCCTCCAAAGCAGACTCTGTCTCCTCTGGATTCAGAGCTGTATTTACAGAGAAGGAAAGGTTAAGATGTCTAAGATAACTGAACACTGGTAACACCCACTTCATTAGCGAAATTCATGAGGCATCCCTTTTCAATTGCATGTTAGAACAGACCATGCTCAATAGTAGCAATATATAAAAGCAATCACTCACCTGGAGGCAGATGCAGTTTGTAAAGTACTTTGAGTTTTTCAGTGAGGTCACCATGGTACATTCCACCTGAGAAGAAAAAAAGACAGTTAAGAAAATAGCAATCAGGATAAAGAATCACACTCAGCTCACAGGCTCCAAATAGAATGAGTTCACATGCAATGAGGAAACGCTAACTGCACAAAGCCCCGTGCAGAAACAGTAAAGAAATCTACAGCAAAGCTGCATCTTGTTCGTTTGCCACCTATCATTTCCCAACACGGGAGAGTGCCTGGCAGCAAAAAGGCATCTTTTGTTCTGCCTAAGACTCCCTGTAAAGCTGTCGCTCTCCCCTCACGATAGTGCAAACATCACTATCTCCTATTAGTTCTCTGCTTGGAAAGGCCAGAAACAATTTTTGCAATGTTCCATCATTTCCAAAAACACCACTTACTCATCCCTGTCACAAACTCCTTGAAGTTAATGAGAGAATCCCTGTTCTCATCCAGAAGCCGGAACAAACGCCCTGCTAGCACAGGCGTATGTGCACCACAGGACCAGGGGGTCAAACTGATGAACAGCTCTTTGAACTGCTCCATATCTATGCGATACTGCTCCAGGTAGGGTAAACTCTGATCTCGGCGGGCAGCTGCAGCACGATTGTTTCCCCAGTAACAGCTCATCAGATACTTTGCCTTTGGAGAGAAAGGATTAATAGGTCAGATTATACTACACTACAACAACCCACAGGAACGGAGACTTTGTTATAGCTCAAGAATAGCACTGAGTAAGCAGAGAAGAGACATTTCAGCACACACTGTTTATCTCCCCCATAATTCCTAGTGTTACTTCACTACAAAATAATACGAAATGAAGGACGAGACAGGGATTTCACAAAAAGCAGAAAGAACAATCTTAAGTGAAAAATACAAAAAACATGATTTCAGGTTTGAATGAAATGACACTCAGGCTTTACTGCAAAGGGAACATGCAAGTTTTAGAACTAAGTCTCCCTTTTGGAGTCTACAGCACAATGCAACTGAGTTTGCAGTCAGTTTGCAAAACTCATTGTCAATACTTCTCAATACAGAAGATTGAGATACCACATAAAAAGAACGTTGTAAACATGGGTGACAGAAACAAAGTTAAATGAAACAATGCAAGTAGTAAAATTGTTGACCAAGAGGCTAATAACAAAAATGTCTGATACAACCCGGGATCTTATCATTAGGTAATTACTGGGGAGAAAAATTGTCTAGCTTTAATAATTTCATCACAGTGTGACAAAGAGGTCAATTCAGTCATGAGGAAATAATCTGGAATCTGTTTTTTTCTGCAACAAGGTATTTAAACAGATAGCTGGGATTGTTGCCTCTGTTCAAAGTCTTACTGGACTTGGTGAAAGCAGTTGGGTAATATCACTCTGAAAAAAATACATACACTGACAAATAGAGACAAAGCACTTAAGTAATTTTTTTCACAATTACAGAGCAAGTCAATGGCAAACTTGAGAAGAAAAATTGAAGTACAATCAATTCTAGCTCCCTGTTTTAAGTGCTAAGTTACATTCCTTTCCATTGACTCCATGATCTCTTTCTGAATTAGTATCACTCAAATACTATGAATGTATTTTGGCCATCTTTGGAAAAAAAAAATAAAATAAAATCAATTAGATAGTAATAGGGCCAGTCTCACTGGCACCATGTATACCCATGCATTATGGAACACCACATCTGTTTCTGGTAGGTCGGATTAATAATCAAAGCAAAGTCATTGCTTCCCTTTCAACTTATTTTGTTCTCTATGTGGCACAACACGTTCTCCCTTACTCTAGCTTCTTACCTTGAACACTACATACAGCTCTTCTAGTTCTTCAATAGAGAAACCAATGTCACTAGACACAGCTCGGACCTATAGTTAGGGAGAATAGAGTGAACAATTTATTTCAAAGCTAGAATAATCAAATATGACTCACTGAAAAATCTGTGTAACACAGAAGATAAGAAAACAAGTGCAAAGAGATATGACACAGGACAGGAGGGAATATATAAACATTCTAATACCTCCCATTGCTATGATTACAGGTCAGGAAGACAGTTTCTAGTCAAGCATAAACTGCTGACATTTTGACCAGTGAGCAAAAATTACTGCGCTTATTTCCTGTTTGTGCAGACCTGGCTGTGCAGCCTGTGTTGTCCCTCCCTCTTGTTTTTATCTTCAGATGTTTGACTCAGATGCATCGAAAAACAACAGTGAAAGAAACATGCAAATGAGTGTATCCACCTAGGGCATGGGAGATAATTGCAACAGATACAGACACTTCCCTTTGTAAAATTCCCTAATGCACTAGCATACTCTCTAAATGGCAGGAAAATCTGCTAGCTAGTTTTTCTCAAAGATTCCAGGCAAACAGTGAAAAAGACAGCACTAGGCAGTGGAGACTATTACAAGGCCTACATGTGGTTTTTATCTCCCTCCATGCCTCATATCTCAATCATGCCCTAGCACTTCAATCCATTTCATTAGATTAACTAGAACCACGGGAAGAAGAAAACTGAAAATCCATTATTCCAGCCAGTAAATCCACTTTTGACATGATCTGCAATTCTTTAAGTCACTTAAAACTGGGTCTGCTACATCACAAACCTTCCAGATGCTCACAGCAAAACACATTCCATTAATATGCCACTTGGTAGCTCATTCAATCTGGGAGTCACATACCACGCTCTTCTTCGCTGTATCCTCCAGGGACTGGATCACTTTCAGCCTTTGTTTAAAACGCATTTGTTCAATGTCATCTGCCTTCAAATTGCTAAATTTCTACAAGTAAGGAAGCAGATCAGGTCAACATTATCTCCTAAAGAAAGAGCAACCCCTGTTCACTTACATGTTCTTCAACAAGCGTACTTTCCCCTCAGAGATGATCTAAAACCCCTAGAAGCCTTTTAACAGCAGCAAAAAGATGAGAAAAAACTTGAGCTCTATTCCCTACTCACCCCTGTCCTGCAAGAGAAGTCATTCAGAATTCACAAGAAATCCAACATCAGAGCTTTCTAAAGAACAGCTGAAAAAGCACTGACAGAAATACAGATCCTGTACTGTGGCAGCGATAAGAGAATAGACAGGCTGTCATTCCTTCCAGCCCTGTTTTTTAATAGGGCCCACATGAGATTCAGCTAGAAACACCAAAGTTAACAGGCTTTTCTACTGACTAGGTCAGACAAGTAAGATGAATTGGGCAATGCTCTTTTACAAAAGAAACTGAGAACAAACAGAGATGGCAGATTTGAAGACATAAACACAATACCCAGCAAAATGATAGCTGCCTGACTGTAAGCAGCTGGAAGGGGGACAGGATGAGGAACAGGAATTAAAAAGGGAAATGAATCCACGTGTACCACAGTGTAGCAGAGAACTGTCAGACACCAGTTCTCTTGCCTGTGTTCTCTCTATCACTCAGACAAATTTCTTATGAGTTTGTTCTCAGTATGAATAATGAGGTACACCTCCACCAGCGCAGAGGTATTTCACCAGCATTGGCACCATTCTTGAGTCACCTTCCTATTACTGTAATGTGGATCCCAGAATTAGATTCCTGTGTACATGAGCTGAGATGCTCCTGTGTTTCTGCAGTCTACCTCACAATTTTTAGCCTGAATTTCCCTCCCCAACTCCCTAGAACCGACAATCCTCACATACAAGTAAGAACAGAGACTATTTTGGCAAAGCAGGAAGAAATCTTTCGTCTGTAATGTTTACCTACTTGCAGTCTTCGGTTTAGTCCCCACTAGTGTTGGGGAGACTCTCTGTAATATACAATAGCCAACAGTGTCAGGCTCTACTGATACCAAACAGGAGGATTAATGGCTTGGGACTGCATTCTTTGAGCACCTCAAGCTATGAACACTGTTAAAATTCTGGCTGCACAAAATGTAAAACTGGATGTTAGTAGAGAAAAACCTCTTGGGCAAAAACTAAGCCAGAACCTTACCTCATAGGATGTTTTGATGAGCTCAAAGATGTCGATTTCAAGTGGCGGGTCATCTCCACTCGTCAATAAGGCGTGCAAGTGGGGAATAGGGGGAGAGACGCTCTGTCTGTTAACTACATTGTCCAAGTATCTGTGGGGAAAAAACAGAACAGATGCAAGACTCCAGGATTAGTGTCCAGGAAAATATCTTAAACAACATCACTCCCAACTCTTAGTAGCATTAATCTAAATATGTAGGAAAATTTAATTTTATGTGGGAAAATTTAATTGCTAACCTGCAATGCCACCCTCAATGTACGTGAAGTAAAGCTGATTTTCATCCTATTTTGGGGGTATCTACTCTTTTTAAAGTGGGCTTCTAGTAGTAAGCTGAAGATCTTGCTGCACATAGAAGAGATTCACATTTCAAACAAGAAAATCTTACATTTACTAGACTTGGGAGATATCTGCTTGATAAAGTTTTATGTTTCTAGAAGGCAATTCCTTCCAGGATCTGTTCTTAATAGTAGATCAGAATCCTTCTGTGAATTTCAGTTAAACAACCCTTCAGAGTTCAAATTCAAACTGAGAAGAAGGAGCGCATTATGCTGCAAAGCAAATAATTCCGGAAATACGGGATTCTACCATACTTAAGCCAAAAATTAATTCAGCTGTTGCTGAAAGCAATAGCAAATCTCTCTGGAGCTCCCATTGAGTCCTAGAGTTTTATCTGTGACCTGCTACGTAATGGAATTAGGTAGGAGATATGATGACTAAAAGAGTACTGTTAATATTCAGTTATAAATAAGAACAATGAATGGTACCTGCCCAGAATAGTCATGGCTTCACCTTCATCACAGCACTGTAACAACTTCTCCATGTTGGCATCAAGTATGGCCAATGACACCTGCAAAATAAACTTGATTCCCTCGTAGAAAAAACAGTCAACAATGACCACAGCGCTCTCAAAGGGCATGACGCTGAGAAAGAGCGTGAGGAACCAGGAAAGGGATATGGTGGAAATCACTCCTAGGTCTTGCATCTTTTCTGACAGCTGTGGTAGATATTCTCGTGTAAGTTCTTCAAAGATGCCTTGGTCCACCAATGCACCTGGGTAAACAAACAAAAACAATGGTAGAACTCAAATTGGTGGTACCATGGTACTATACTCAATAATAAATTATTAAACAAAATAGTGTGAGTTCACTTTAATTTCATATAAGCCTCTTAACATCAGAACTAAAATTAACACATTTATTTAAATTTGTTCCCCCTTCTCAATAAAACAACAAATGTAGATAGAGACTATTCCTATACTGCAGAGCACGCAGCAGCAGAATCTCTCATTGATCTATTCATTTTCCCTGAAAGGAGGGGTGGAAGATTACTGATATTATAATATTTACATCAAACTATACTCTTTATACAGACCAACTTTAAAAGCCCATGAAGTGGTGCTTTCACTAACCTTTCCCGTAAGCCTATTCCAAAGACTTAATGCATCATTCAGATGGGTAAAAATAACCCAATAATATTCTTCTAGATATGCCTCCTTACTGCTAATGGTCCCTTCTGCAACCAATTTTTAGTGACTTCATCTTCCTTGTCACTACAAGGTAGTACTACTACCTTGGCAGCCTGCAGTGTCTCTCTTTCTATGTCTCCATCACACACCTGCAACTTTAAAAGGAACAGGGTTGTGCTCCCTCATCTGTAAAATGCATCACATTTAATTCACTCTGAACAACAAAACGTTCCTGAGAGATGCTGGTGCAACTGTAGCTGAACATCTAGGCTCCAGCATGAATTTGACAAAGACTCACCCACTACTCTTGTGTTGTAGTAATCTGGCAACATCCGCTCACATAAAGCCACTAGGAGCCAGAAAGCCTCTTCCTCATTGCAGTATAGCAACAGTACCGACGTAACAATGTTCATGGCCTACGAGCCCGCAGAGTTGGATATGCAGATAGAGGAGAAAAACTTGAAGATGTTCATGAAAGCTGTCATTACAGATCAGCTAAATTTAAAAAGCGTGAATACAGTAAAACTGTCACTGAGTCACATCTATTTCCAGCTTTTACTGGTATCCAAGTCAATAGATGACCTTGAGCCAATTTACCTTCCTGTTTCAGTTCCTCTGTTTGTGAGGAACAATAATATAACCACTTTTTGTCAACCGCTTTTGTTAATCAATGTGACTAAGTATAATTTTCAAAGTTAAAGCTTTGTAACACTTTGGTCATAACAGAACAACATAATGAGAATCTCTAATAGCACAGCAGTACACAAAATGAAACTGAATTTTCTACCAACCTGTTTCACAAACCAGCAACTGGCTTTATTTTAAATATACTGCCCATGTGCATCATCACTTATTTGATTTAATTGCTATTTTTAATGAAACCAGAAGATGTTTTTGCTGGACTGGGGAAAGCTCTAGCAGGAAAACTAGTAAAAGACTATAATTACACCTAACAGAAATGTGCAAAGTCTATTTAAATGCTGTATCCAAAGGATAGTTAAGAGATCTTGCAATGTTACAACTTCTTTCCTACTCTCATACCACCACATGGACAGCATGAAGGAAAACTTTGAAACCGAACAAAAAACTGCAGAAAAAGTCCAAGTCACCATGTAGGACTAGCAAGTCTAAGGCTTCTTTCTTACCTGACAGTACCCAATTGTTGGATTTCTGAATGCGTAAGCTGTTAAGACTCTCCGGAGGGCAGCAATTCCCAGCTCATTTTGGAAGGCAGGATGTTCTGGCATAGAACGGTGCAGATCTCTCTCAATCTCCTCTGTAGCAAGATTGTACTTCCCCATCGACTTTTCCACAAGGTCTGCATAGTAACCAGGATGAGTCACCATCTCATTCCAAGCCCCTGTAACAACAAACAAATAAATACTGCTTCACCTCTTGGAATACAGATTTTATGCCCACAGTTTCAGAGAAGAGGCAGCCAGGAAGCACTACGTGAACTCATCAACTACAAACAGACATAAAAGTATACTAATAAACTCATTGTTAAATCATCATCTAGGTCCCAACACTGAAATGCAGACCAAGGAGGCCAAAGAGCTACTACGCTTATAAAGAAAGTAAATCTCAGGAATGCAATCACTGCATTTTAGGCAAAAACACCATGAAGTATCATTCAGGTGGAGTTAACCTGTGATTAATTTCTTCTGAGATGAGCTGAGTTACACCTTTTCCTTTGAGATGTGCATAAATCTTATTCCTGCTAGCTGTCAAACTACCTAGCACAACCTCCTACCTGAGAAAAGGAGCCACAGCTCTCCACGAAGATTCTCTGGGATTCCTTTTTGCACAAGCTCCCTAGTCTTGGCAGTGCGATACATACACATCCCTCGCCCATATTCAAAGAAATGAATGTTCCAAGACTCTTCCTTCATCTTCTCCTTTGCCTGCACAAGAACAAATACGGCCATTTTAGGAGATCAGTGCATTTTTATGTTTGTAAGACAAGTAATTTCTGGGTGTACTCAGGCCTACACTTCACAAGAGAAATGCATTGTGACATTTGAAGCCTTTCTTCTTCCTGTTGAATAAAAGGGTGTATGCTAATCTACGCTGTTTCAAATCAGTCCTGACCTAGCTTAAAGTCGGGTCTTTACAACGCTAACATGGGCTGTGCAATGGCATTACACCTTGCAAATCTCCACATAAACGCAAGAGCAGAACCATGGTCTAAGACAATTAACTAGCAAGCAGAGATACTAGTTCTCTGCTTCACTGATGTGAAGAAAAGTAGTTCTTCACAAATATTAATTTACATCCCAGAAGCACAGGAACACTGATTTCACAGCCTCTAGTCAAGCATCTCAGGTAGCTCAGTACTGATACAGTAAACTGACAGTCAGGTTACATCTCTGCAGCGCTATCATTATGACAGACACAGCAGTGATACTGCAGGACTGACCCGGGAAAAAATGCGTTTTCAGTCTTAGAGCAGAATAGGAAATCTGCAACCTACTGCAAACTACTTAGAGTTAATTATTTTCAGTTAAAATATTATTCACCCCTTTGGGTCCCAAGAGCTCCTCGGAATTTCTTCTGAAGAGTTTGAGCAGTCCCTGAGAGGCTGTTGGCACTTCCCCGGCGCAGAAGTTGACAGGTCGATTGCTGAGAGCAGACGTGGGGCTAGCTGCAAGTGGGCTGCTGGAAGGCAACTCTGGAACCTCCTGAACAACAGAACGTAAAGCATCTGAGCTCAGGCAGCCTCCCTCCTCTGCTAACCGTCTAACAAAGAGACATCATTCCCTGGTAACGAGCACTGTTAACGCACTGTAAGGAGCATTACTCTGGAAAGTTGATAAATGCTCCTCCCAGCTATTTCCTTAGTACCTCGCAACCAGGATCAGCCAAATTCCACTTCCATTCCCTGTCGCTGCTGCATGATTTCTTGGATGGCGTTCTCTGCAAGAAGTCAGAGATTCTCTGTACCAAGAAATCTCGGTCTTTCAGATTGGCAAAGAAGAAGGTCATTTTACTTTTAGTGCTGATGGACAGAGGGCTGGGCAAGACACTGGAACTATCTGCTTTCTCAACTATTGTCACCTAGAAGACAAAGATAAGGGCCATTTGGATCTAGCAGATTCTCCATTATCTATAAAGCACTGCACGAAAGCTAGAAGCACACAAAAGACAAGAGAGGCCTGCAGTACTATACAGCTGAGAAATCCCCACCTCCCTGAGAGGAATGATGAGATGGCAGGCCTCCTCTGCCTTGCTGGCGAAACAGATATAATTGTTGGAAACAAACATCTGGCCAGGAATATGCATCTTGTTGAATGGTGTCCACAAGGTACAGTCTGTATGTCCATCCAGGCATTCATCCTTGGGCAACCGGAAAGTGGCACGGTAGCACTCATTTTTGGCTCGAGCATCCAGGTCTCTGGGGAAAAGTAAAGAATCATCCCCAGAGGTTTTTTCTCATTTGAAAAACTCACTCAAACGCTAATGTTAAGTGTTCATTCTAATCACAACCTTCAGACTGTGCTGTGTATTCTTAGTATTCATTTCTCTAACTGAGATGCCACCCCTTATCTGACTCCTCTTTCAGCCTTCAGACATGCTTCACTGACAAGGTATGTCCTGCAATACAAGATAAAATATGCAAGTGTATCTGCGAAACTTAAATGCTACATCAGATTCTGAAACTGCAGAGAACAGTCCCCAGTGGGAGGATTTATTACAATACAAATTTCTATTACTTTTTATAAATATTCAACTTCATACAAAATGGCTGATGTAATTTTCTTCTTTCGCACTTCTTTTTTAAAGCAGGATTTTCTACCGTTTCTAGTTGAAAATTCCTTCTGACAGTGCCTAGTCATGCATGAGAAAGACACGAGGGTGTGTGTGTGAATTCAGTATCAATTCAGGATGGAAAAAAAAAAATAATAGGCAGACAGCTAATGACTGAAATAAGTGACGCAGCCCCTAGAGTGAAAAAACCCCAGTGGTACCTGGGAGATACACAGTAATGCAGGTTTATTATTACAATCCCCTATTATCTGTCTTCTCTTCTCACTGCTGGAAACATATACCTTTTTAATGCAGAGATGTTCTTAAGAGGCTTCCTAGGCTTTGGGAGGGACTTGTCCTGTAGGAAGCTCTCATTATCCAACAGCTGCCGCATAGCAATGTTAGCCAGCTGCTCCATCAGCTTGAATGTCTCGTTGATGTTGAGAAACATGGAAAAATAAAGTTCATTGTCCCTTGTGCTTACTTTAATGCACTCAGGGAACAGCAGTGTAGCATTTTTTTCTAGCTGGGTTACATCCACCCACTGGATCACCAGTGTAACTGGGGAAAAAAAGTTCAAGAAAACTACTATTAGAATTTGAGGCAAAACAACAATTACAAACAAGTCTCAAGCAACAAGTAAGATCTCGGTGTAGCAGCAATTTTTCCCTCTTCTTTTCTTCATACTTTTACTGGGTTCTTCAAAAATACTTGGAAATAATCTTTGGGATTAACTATACTAGAAAGAACACAGTTCCAAAAGGACCATCTCCCATCCAGTAAATGCTTTCAACTACAATTACTCAAGTTTTCATTCCTTCTTTCCAACAAACTAACTTTTGACTCACGAGTTCAAGCTTTGTAAATACTGGGTCTGGGTGATGGTTCCAAATAAAATTAACCAAAGAAAAAATATTGCTTGGTTCTCTAATCCAGTTAAAGTAAAACTTCAGGTGTACTTAACTTGAGAAATGTTTTGAAAAAATGACTCCAGCAATCAGCCTAAACACCACTGAAGTGCCTATGAGTGCAAGGACTGGTCTATGTGTTGAGCTAGAGCTCAACGGATTCCTAAATGGAAAGAAACTGTCAGCTTAAAAAAACTTCACACAAAAGATCAATTGCATCAAAAAGATCATGGGAAATGGCAGAAAAACAACTAGCAGGCTTATAACTCACCCTCTTTGCCCAGCAGGAAGGAGTAGAAACAGAGGTGATTGACAGTGAGGTACAGCCAACCCTGCCTGGGCACGCGCCCCTTCCAATAGCTGCAGGAATAGTAATTGACCAATTTCTCCACCTCGGGCATCCCAAACTGCTTCCGCATCTTCAGTTCAGCCTCTTTGAATTTACCTGGATCCTCTTCACTCTGGGGCTGCTCGTTCTTGTTCTCTTCAGCAATAATTCCCTAAAAGGATATGGGAGGAGAGAGAGAAGAAATGGAAGGGAACATGCCTGCTGACAGACATAATATACAGCAAAAGGTCACAGCAGCAATCCGGAAGGCAGAAAGAAGAAATACGACACAGCAGTTATCATTTCGCCTGTCATGGTAGAGAAACAGCAAAGACATGTAGAAAGAGCATTCAGATAGTCGGGGAGTCTATGATCTGGGATCTACTCCTGAACACATGCAGCAAGCATTCATATTTAACGTTTGACTGAGTTTCTCTCAGCTGGCCTGGTAACGCTTTGAACACCCTGCAGGAGAACTGAAGTCTATTTTCACTTGAAAACATGCTTCTTCAACAGGAAGAAGATCATCTGCCAGGAAGGGCAGAACTCTGCAGTTTGTGACATCTTGACTGGCCAGAAGGAAAAACAAATAACCACAAGCTCTCTCAGACACACACACATACAGAAGATACAAAGAATCTGACTGCAGTACTGGAAAAGACTCAAATTGTTGCTGTGCAATAAAAAAACCTGCAAGTTTCTACTCTGGAGAATTTGTGGGCTGGGAATCTGAAGTGTCTTAACTGCGCAACAAGCAGAGACACCTGTCTGTCTCGGAAGTCAGTGGAAGTTGGGGTGCAGTGCCTTACAACCCAGATGAGATGGCTTCTAGACCACCGTGGCAGGGCAAGCACATTGCTTGCAAACTAGAATTCTCTCTCCCATATTTGCTGCTAGATGAACCCTCATTTAACATTCTCTTTGCATCAAAGTCATAATCTACAAAGATTTTAAAGAGACATTATATTTTACTTAGTCAGAACATCCTAAGCAGGCAGTTCCTCAACTTCTACTGCTCATAAACTTTTCCCCCCCAAATACATTTATCCAGTGCTACAGCTGTAACATGATGCTGATAATGCTGTATCCATTTCATGACCTAGGTATGTCTGAAAAGGGAGCAGAGAGAAGTTTTGCAACAGAGCTCTTGCTCCCTCCCTCCCAAGGGTAAAAAATTCTTGAAATATTTTATTTAAAATTAAAAAAATAAAATATACTTACGTGTATCTTGCCCTTGACAAAAGTGGTGATATCTTCTTCATTATCAAAGATGGAGAGAGTCTGCAGTAAGTTATTCTCCAGCCATTCCCAATGCTTTGTGATCTCTTTACGAGATGATCCTAAGTGAAGGGATAAAAGATGATGGGAAGAGCAAAGAAAATAAATTAGAACAAGGCCTTTTTTCCTCCAAGTTCACAGCAGGAAACTAATAATTGGCAAACAGTAATCAGGATAAATCAAACACACCAACTATATACATGTCAAGGATATTTTACGTACACCATATTGTGTTTCTAATGAAATGTCACCACTGCCACCAAGGAGAATCAGTACACTACCAAGACACCACCCTGTTTGCCAGTGCACACTCAACATAACTTTTTTTCCCCAAACAGAAAGCATTTTTATGTTCCAAACAAGATGCACTCTTTTAATTCCCATTATTCTAGAATAAAAATAATGAACTTTCAGAAGAACCTTTAAATTTCAGAACAGCTGAAGTCTTTACACCTTCAAAGAGGTTCAATTCTCCATGAACAATGGTCAGCAGAGAGCATACAATTCCAAAACAAAAAGCAACCAAAATATTCATGTGAGAAAGTTCTTCGCTTTCTTAAATAAACACGTCTCAGCAAAACTTATATCAGTTAGTTGTCTTAACCATACAGTCCACAAGAGTTCATAAAGGATAAGCTTCACTGTGTAACCAATGTAAAGAACTTTTCTACAGAAAATTGCCTTAGTTAGCTGCCATTAATTATTTAAAAGATTTGTGTTTACTAAAAGATTTTTTTCTCTGTCAATGGCTATCACTATAGTATCTTGTAGACAGAAAAAAATGCAGAAGAAATAAAACCAGCAATTCAATCTTTTTTTAACAAGATAATAAACATCATTAAATGCAGACAAAAAGAAATCTGTTTAAATGCACATCAAAGACACTTGTAAGTTTCTCTTTGCCAAATTTCAGTAAATTTATCTTCTGAAGTTTCATACAAAAGCAGTGGGATATCTAAAAATGTTAACAGCATGACTCCCACTACTCAATTTCTCTTCAAGTACATTAGACCCCTCCATGTGGTTAATGATGGAAAAGAAGAAAGCAGCCAACAACACAAGCGGTTCCCTAAAGCTACTGCTCTACCTTTCTTTTTTATGAGGCAGCTTCAGCAATGAAATAGTCTTCATGTATTTGTAGTAGGATACCTAACCACAAAATCCAACACCAGCTAATCTGTGGTTTCATAAGCAAAAATAACTCCAGGACCTGAAACCAAAAACTAGATGCAAGTAAGCTGTCTTGTCTCAAAGGACCGCAGGGCTATGAATCTGAGTTTGTGTGTACGGACCAATGGATTAGACAACAAATATTTTTTCTTTTGCCTCTGTGTATAAGTTTATGTGACATCTGCCCTAGCCATCTCACAATGTCTTTAAAGAATAAATGATATTGAGTAATACGAAATGGCGTATTTTAAGGGCACAGAATTATCGATTATAGGATGCTTTGGTTGTGGAAAAACCCCACACATCCAGCAACAATAGCAGGGAATAAAGTCTGTGTTCTGTTTTGTTTCATGAGCTGCATCGGTCACTAAGTGACAGCAGACAAATTACTGAAATAAGCCAGACCTCAATAATTGATGTCTTTCTAAGAACATTAGAATGACATACATCAAGGAGTAAAATTTTGCAATTCCTACAAAGAGAGTTGTAAGAACAAAGTGCCGAAAGCCCGAAGCTGCGTGCATGACCAGAATGCTGCCCACTAGTATTTACACGTGATAAGTTCTAAGTAAAAGACAGGCGTTTTTCCACTAGAGAGCCACACACATGTTATAACTTTAAGTGAATACCAGGACTTTTACTTTGACAGTAAAATAAGAACCAGATATGATTAAAAAAATACTTTGGATGAAGGCAATATATTTACACCAGTATAATAATTTATCAAATAATTTATTCCAAAACAGTTGTTATATAGCCCATCTCATTTTACTTACTGTGTTACTTAAAAGTAACTGAGATATAGAGAATATTGACAACAGCACTCCAGAAATTGTACAAAAATAACACATTCATTGAATGTCAATATACTATAAAATTTCAGATTTACACCGTATGGGGCCACTAAATAGTCTTCTTTCTTCTATGTAGTTTCTGGCCTGCCTTTTTTTTTTCCTGTCTTTTCTCTCTGCATCCTCCTTTCTCAAAAGGGAAACTGAGTATCTATGACACACAGCAATTTCTAAACCTCTCTTCTGCAGAATTTATGTAGCTCTGCAAGGAAGAATATTGTGTTGGTTGCCTGGGGAGAAGACGGGAACAGGGAAAACAAGACATCAACATCTGTGGGCTTTGCAAATGATTACTTCATGCTCAGATCTTATGTCTCAACCGCAAAGTGAGAAGTGAAGATTCTTATTATAAACAAAGTCAGTCTAACAAACACGCCTGAAGATATTTTCTCTTTAGCCACCAGTAGGACCTAAAGCCTTAATAAAAGTTCACCACCAGATATTTTAAGGTTGTACCATGGTATTCTAATACAGCAATTACACTTCACAAGCAAAAGAGGGCACAGATTAAAAAATATTATTGTAACATATTCTACAGATAGAGTATATTTATACATCTGTTACAAGCCAGAAATAGCAGAAAAAATTAAATTGGATCAAGACAGTAAAGAGATTCCCCAAAGAGTGTTTGGCACCTTTTATGACCTTATATGTTCCCATCTTGTACCATGTTCCTGGTAAGCAGGTTTTGGCACAACACTCATCATCCCACAGCAATCTTACCATCATGGTTTGATTCTCTGGACAATCTCACTATGACCTTGCAAACAGATACACCTTGGAAGAAAGAAAATTCTTAACATCTGCAGAAACAGAAGCTTTTACAGAGCCTTAAGTTCTTAAACTACAGTTTAAACACCACCAAGAAGCTTTGTGATTTCCAGCATCTTCCACTACCCCACCAGGAGCTCAAGAAAGTTTCCTGAGCAGACACAGAATATGCCTATCCGGGATAACTGATCATCTGAGCCAAACAGACAATACAGCAACACAAATCCAGCCCCTGACAAGAGCCACATCAATACATACCGCACGCCACTGCCCAATACACTTGAGAGTCCTGAGTCTGGTGCAGAATACGGTACGGGGCAACTCTGGCGCTGGAATCCAAAACCACATCTAATGTTCCCACAAGAAGACCTAGGAGGCAATGAAAGATAAATGAAAACAATGTAATACCAAAATGAAGAATGGGGTTAAGTAAAAATACAGGATCAACAGTACAGAAAAATGCCAATGTTCATATCATGTATGCTGTGATGGAAGAGTAACGGCACTTGGTTGAAAAAATCCAGTCACTACAAGCAAATTACCTATCAACCAACTACAGCCAATCCCACTGCTAATGGATGAAGTTTAGATGGCAATTAAATGTCTACTAAACCTCATTATAATCCTCTGCCTTCCTAGGAGAGTTTTATAATAAAAGTCAAATGTATTTCCCTCTGTGGGGTTTCCGTTGCCAATAGTGATTTTTAAGCCTACTAAACTAAAACACAGAAGAGTTTTCAACACTGTGTCCTTCAGCATCACCTATGCAAACAGTACGTAAGATAATTCATTCAAAATGCAATCAAATAGCTCTAGAAAAACTGGTACTCAGGTTTCAGTGACATTTCTAGAAGTACTTTGATTAAACAAAGAAAGAAGGCAGAGAATCAAAATTTGGTAATACAGAAGTTAAAGTATTTTTATACAATGTTAAATAAAAAAGCAGGCACCTCCAGAATAAATGTTGACAGCCACCAGACTTTGTAAAGCACATCCATTTATTTCAATGAAATCTCTTTACTGGATAAATCAAATATCTAAGATGATACTTTGTTATTCTAGATCATGTACTATAAGCATCTTTAATACAAACTAATTTTGCAACATCTTCATGATTAAAAGTTTTCTAACATTGGAACTTGGTGAAGGAACACGGTTGCTTCTCTGGATCGCCATTTGGGAGGCCCAGGCTCAATTCCCTGCTCTCCTCCCTATGGTCTGGGTGAGTCTGAGCAAAATCATCCATACCTCATTCATTACCATGAAACATGCTGCTTCCTCTCCCTTCTCTCTCTTGGCTACCCAAAAGCAAGTAACAGATTAGGAATATACCACTAAACATACTTCAAAAGAAGCGCCATCCATAGCAAGCTCATCTGGTAAACCTTAAAACAAATACATATGTATCCAGCACAGCGGGATCTGTTTCGCTCCAGGTTTCTTGTGCACGGTTTTAGGCAGAATATGGATTAAAAAGTCATTTTGAATACTTCCTACAACAACATCGAATGTGTCAAGTATTGACATATGGACCGGTGACAAGATATTTTTAAGAACTTCAGTACAACAGCAACGTAAACACCTTTCCAGCTTGGCTGAATACCTACATTCTAACCCTAAAATGTCAACTTGCAGTTGTGCAGCTCCTTAAGGAGGACACGTGGCTTTTAACACGTAGGAGCTCTGAAGAAGACTCTCTCCCTGAGCTAAACTCGCTCAAGAAGTAAACTGCCTAAAAGCTAAAACCATTTAAGAATAGACCAGTTTAAATGTTCCCAGAATAGCACCAGGTGTTATTTCTTCTTGTAAAAACCTAGGAAATTCCAGAATTATATGCCTACGTGCAAAATTACACAAGTAAATTATGTTACATAAAACCGAGCGATCCAAATAATTTTAAATATTGTGAAAAGATGAAATGTGCAAAGGATGTTTATCAGCTGCGTCATTTCCGTAGTTAGTATATTTGGTTAACAGGGCTAATACATAAAACTGGTTGTGCGTAATTCACTGATGTAAAAAAGAACATTTTTATTACTCACATCACTGTGTATGCGTTTTGCACATAAATGGGGTGTTTTAAAAGTGAAGGGATTTTTTGTCGTTGTTAACACCGTGCCTTGGTCACAGTTATGTTACGTTAACAGTTTCTGTCCCCAAACACGGCTGTCGGGCACACAGGGGTAGTTCTCACTGGGCTGCACCCACACAACTTCACACCCAGCCCAAGCACAGCTCAATTTTCATAGATATCAATTAAAAACTACGTCTTTCTTTCATCCTCTAAACCTTGAAAAGACACACACACACAAAAAAAAAACCCCACAAACAAACAACGAACCAACCCAAAACCCAAAGAAAACACCTCAAGGCAACGCGAGTGTGACAAAGAAGCCATTTTTTGACGAGGGAAGACGACCACCCCAGCCGCCCCCGTTGCAGTTATTCGCCCTCCCTGTGCAGCAGCACCGCTGGGGAGGCCGGACCGCAGCACCCCCCTCCCCGGTTCCCCGTCGTCCGTGTCCCCCCCCACC